AAACTCCTGGGGTCAAGCAATCCTCCCAGCTCAGCTCCCCAAAGTGCTAAGATTACAGGCTTGAACCATGGCACCTGGCCTTTTTTCATTTTTTAAATAAAAAGCTGCCAGGAGCAGTTAGCAGTGCTGTTCAGGGAACAGAACCTGGAAAAAGCACAGGAGGAGGGCAGGTTAGAGGCAAACACAGAAAAGCTACAGAGTAATGAGACATGCTACAGAGGTATGTGAGAAAGATGGGGGGATTTTAAGTGGGCAAGCAGAACAATTAGACATGCTTTGGAAAAATCCTCCTAAATGGTGACAAATATTTGTCCTCTGAGGGAGAATTTGATGGGGTGATTAGCTCTGATTTATGGATGAGAAAATAAAGCTGCTAGAGGTTAAATGATCTGCCCAGGATGATAACGCCATGAAGAGGCACAGTTAAGATCTGAGACTCAAAACCAAGCAAAGAAAACTGTATGACTATTACAAATGAGCTGTAAAAGGCCTTGTCCAAAGACACTTCAAAAAATGTTTTAAATAATGGACCAGGAGTTAACCTGTTGAAGTTTTATCTTTTACAATAAGGCTTTTTTGCATTGCTGAAATTTTCCAACACAAAACTTTTGTCATCTTTTCTATTTTTTTTTTTTTTTTTGAGACGGGGCTGGAATGCAATGGTACAAACACGGCTCACTGCAGCCTCAACTTGTCAGGCTCAAGTGATCCTCCCATCTCAGCCTCTCAAGTAGCTAGGACTACAGGCACACACCACCATGCCCAGCTAATTTCGTAAATTTCCTGTAGAGATACGGTTTTGCTGTGTTGCCCAGGTTTGTCTTGAACTCCTAGCCTCAAGAAATCCTCCTGCCTTGGCCCCCCAAAGCTCTGGGATTACAGGCATAAGCCACCACGTCCAGCCACTTTTGGCATCTCAAATAAACCTCATTTCTTCATAGTCATGCCTATAATTTGCTTTACATAGATAACAAAATTTACTGTAAAATACAAGAAATTATCTTCTCTCTAGCTTTGCTAACATTGCCATTGCTTTCCAACATCCTGTTCATCTGCATTGAATTCTGTTTACTGCTATGACACGGCTTTCAGACCCTCAGGTAGCTTTCTGAAACAGTGTTTATTTATATCTTCTAAGCTGACTCTGTATTAATATTCTAAAAATGGGAAAAAACAATTTATCTAAAATAATGAAACAAATTAAATTCATTAAAGTAGCGGCTTCCAAAGGTGCCTAGGAAACAAACGCTTCCCTAGTGGGAGAGTCTATTAAATTCTTACTTTTAAATACGTGACTATCAAATAGTTCACTGTCAAGAAAGGCACACACTATATACCACTCAGTTTTTTAAGGTTAGGGACAAGCAACACAAAACTCGTATTTTAAAAATACAAAATAGGATGGGCGTGATGGCTCACGCCTGTAAACCCAGCACTTTGGGAGGCCAAGGCGGGTGGATCAGCAGTTTAAGGCCAGCCAGTTCGAGACCAGCCTGGCCAACATGGTTAAAACCCTGTCTCTACTAAAAATACAAAAATTAGCCAGGTGTGGTAGTGCACGCCTGTAATCACAGCTACCACTTAGGAGGCTGAGGCAGGAGGATCGCTTGAAGGAAGCAGATGTTGCAGTTAGCCAAGATCCTGCCACTGCACTCCAGCCTGGGTGACAGAGTGACAGTCTCAGAAATAAAAACAAACACAAAATTTTAAAAATCTCCATTTTATACTATAGTTATGGAAAATAAAAGGAAGTGCTAAGAGACAAATAGATGAAGACTGAGGAAAAATGGGAGGAAAGGGACAAAACTGAAAAGCTGACTAAAAGGTGTGGTGTCATAGAGTTAAAATTAACTTGAATACTTTATATGTTTCTTTTTCTGCCTCTTGTTGAGAGAGATTTTCACTTTATCCTCCAGGCTGGAATACAATGGCACAAACACAGCTCACTGCAGCCTCAATCTTGTGGGCTCAAGCAATCTTCCTGCCTCAGCCTCCCAAGTACCTGGGATTGTAGGCACACCACCACACCTGGCTCATTTTTTAAAACTTGTTTTGTAGAGATGGGGTTTCACCATGTTCCTCAGGCTGGTCTTGACCTCCTGAGCTCAGGCAATCCACCCGCCTCAGCCTCACCAAGTGCTGAGATTGCAGGCGTGAGCCACCACATCCCTATATTTTTCTTTTTTGAGACAAAGTCTGGCTCTGTTGTCCAGGCTCGAGCGCAGTGGCAGGATCTTGGCTCACCGCAACCTCTGCCTCCAGGGCTCAAGCTATTCTCTCTCGACTTACTGCAGCCTCTACCTCCTGGGTTCAGACGATTCTCCTGCCTCAGCCTCCTGAGAAGCTGGGATTACAGGCGCCCACCACACTTGGCCAATTTTTGTACTTTTAGTAGAGATGGGGTTTTGCCATGGTGGCCAGGCTGCTCTCAAACTCCTGAGCTCAGGTGATCTGCCTGCCTCGGCCTCCCAAAGTGCTGGGATTACAGGCATGAGCCACCATGCCTGGTCCCACACACCTCTGTATTTTTCTTTACAGGTCTCATAGATCAACTATTTGTATCCAAGCCATTCTCCGGACAATGATCAGAAACTGAATTCTGTTTTCATTTCTCATTCAGGAAAATTATTCATTTGCTCCTTCATTCATTCACAACAAACATTTGATCACTTACTGTTTTGTAGGCCCTGTGCTAGGTGGCGGACTTGATCACTGTGAGCACAGAGCTTAGAGTACTGAACAAACTCAAAAAATCAATTATTAAAGCTAAATAAATGACTAAGTTTCCTTCCTTTAGAAAAAAGTATTTGGCTGGGCATGGTGGCTCACGCCTGTAATCTCAGCACTTTTGTTGGGCCAAGGCGGGTGACTCACCTGAGCTCAGATGTTCGAGACCAGTTTGGCCAACATGGTGAAACCCTGTCTCTACAAAAAATACAAAAACTATCCAGGCATAGTGGCAGGCACCTGTAATTCCAGCTATTTGGGAGGCTGAGGCTGGAAAATCGCTTGAACCTAGAAGGCAGAAGTTGCAGTGAGCTGAGATCACGTCACTGCATTCCAGCCTGGGCAACAGAATGAGACTCCATCTCAATAATAGTAAGAAGAAATACAAAACTTAGCCAGGTGTGGCAGCACGTGCCTGTAGTCCTAGCTACTCAGGAGGCTGATGTGGGATGTCAAGGCTGCAGTGAGCCATGATCACACCACTGCACTCCAGCCTGGGTGACAGAGTGAGACAGTGTCTCAAAAAAAAAAAAAAAAAAGACTTCATTTTGTTAAACTAGCTCCTACACTTACTAAGCTGTACAGCTGCATATAACCTTATAGTTTGATTTCATACTCTGTAGAATGGGGGAAAAAAAGGATTCATTTTGCCTACCAATATTAGTGTCATTTGGACCCTTTCACTTTAATCACCGAAATAGCTGACTGATCCAGAACTTAATCAAGCCAGACTAACTGGTCCCTCACCCAAGACTTTTACAACTGGCCAAAAGTAAGTTTCTCTCTGGGTGCCTGTGGTCATGTTCCTTCAGGCTGGCTGTGGGCGGCTAGCAGCAATCTGCAATGTGAGAAAAAATAAAGCACACTTGCAGAGAGAAGCAGAGATGAGAGCTGGAAAGAATTCCTGGCTTCTGCTGTTTCTGATACCCAGAACCTTTCAGTTCTTGAGTTATCAGATGCATATTCAAATATCCCTATAATACTATCTTTTTATTTAAATGAGTTAATTAGACTGTTGTTACCTGCAACATCAAGAGTCTTAGCTAATAACAAAAGTGGTATCAGAATGACATTCTCCCCAACGTACAGTGGTTGAGTTCCGGCCCTAAAGCCAGACTGCGTGGGTTCTTCTGGCTCCTCCCCTTACTAAGCTGCGTATAACCTTATACCTTGATTTCATAATCTGTAAAATAGGAATAAGTGACCATCAGTAGGAATGGTTTAAGTTTGTAACGTTCAAAGTCCTTAGAACAAAGCTTGACCCAGAGTTAAGAGCGCAACAGGCCAGGCATGGTGGCTCACGCCTGTAATCCAAGCACTCTGGAGGCCAAGGCGGGTGGATCACCTGAGGTCGGGAGTTCAAGACCAGCCTGACCAACATGGTGAAATCCCGTCTTTAAAAAAAAAAAAAAAAAATTAAAAAAAAAAAAAAAGCACAACAGAAGTTAGCTATCACCACCACCTCCGAGGGTGATCTAAATTCTATGATATACTGACTTGTTGATATTTCAGTGAGACCCATTCCCTACTGCACATGTGATACACAGAGAGCACTGACAAGGCCACTCTTAAGCAGGTACAGATTCCACTTCTGGGTAAATCAAGAAGAGTAATAAGGTAACAGAGAGAGACAAAAAGCAGTGCTGGATTCTTCACAGCTCCCAGCATCACACTCTTCTCTCATAAGGAGCGTCTACACAACCAAAATCCCAAACCCGCCCCTACTCCAAAACTGAGTCTCATTGCTCTTCCTTTGATGCTGTTGGTTTTATAAGCCTCAGGATTTCTATACATTTTTAGATCCAACAGATGACTTCAGCTTGCCCCCCACTCCGGCCCAAAAAAAAATCACTCCCACTGATATAACTCTTAAAATCCTTTATTATTTGTGATTTTTATTTGTGTGTGTGATGGGGGTAGGGCAAGAGCTGAAGGCTGTTGACCTTTGAGAACCCTAAATCTACTTATAATACATACTGACTGAGACTCCCTCTATCCACCCAATGGTGTTGTCAGGGAATATTAGAAGACTTCATATAAAGGGCTCAGAATAAATTAAACACCATCCTGAAAGGCTGCTTAACTAGAAGCAAGCATGGCCCAGAGATCAAGCACATGCATGTAAGAATTAGAGGCTCCTGAAGAACCAGGAATTAGTTAAAATAATAAAGGAAAAATAATATATGCATGATTTTTCCAAAGATATTTTCTCGGCAAAAGTATCTTTTAAATTATTCTAGAGCCAAAATTCCAGGTGTAGCTGGCTAGGTAATAAGGAGTGGAGGGAAGAGGGGGAAGGGAAACGTTGCATAGCCATATCCTGACAACGCCAGGGCTTCTCTATGGGAATTCTCAAACAGCAGCAAACTCCTCGAGAACCCAGGCAAAACAGAGGCAAGCAATCCATGTCTATCAGCTCACAAATTCGCTGAAGGCTTTCTCCTTTTCTTTTACCTGCTTCTCTTTCAGAAATCCCTTATTTATAGAAGCAGCAAACAAAGCCTGAGGGGAAAACTGAAGTTCCCGTTTCTAACCTCTCTTCTAGACCCCTTTCCTTTCTCAGTTCCTCTTTCTCCTGCTCTCATTAGCTTGACCTCAATCTTTTCCTTGGGCTCCCTAAACCTGTAAACTCTCCCACTTCAGCACTTTTCCAGGAGAGTGCTCCCGGAGAAGTCCTGAGCAGGTATGGGGGACTCAGGCTACTGGTAAACCTAGTGCTTTGGGAGGCCCGGGCAGAAGGAATGCTTGAGACCAGGAGTTTGAGATCAGCCCAGGCAATACGGCAAGACTCTACCTCTCAAAAAATTTAGAAAACAGCTGGGACTGGGTGTGGTGATTCACACCTGTACTCACAGCACTTTGGGTGGCTGAGGCGGGAGGATCATTTGAGCTTAGGAGCTCCAGACCGGCCTGGGCAACACAGTGAGACCCCCATCTCTATTAAAAGAAAAAAAAAAAGCTGGACATGGTGGAGAACACCTGTTCTCCCAGCTACTCAGGAGGCTGAGGTGGGAGGATCACTTGACCCCAGGAGTTCAAGGGCGCAGTGAGCTATGATCATGCCATTGCATTTCAGCCTAGGCAACAAAGCGAGACCCTGTCTCTTTAAGGAAAAAAAAATTCCTTATCAAAAATAATAACTTATTTTCAAGAATCAAAGAAAAAAATAAAAAACAGGAAGAAACTGCTCCTCCTGCAACTGCCACCATCGAGCTTCAGCTTGTCAGCACCACTGGAGAGCTTTTATTTTCCACCCCAAATTTGCTGATCTCTCCCTCCTTCCATCCACCCTGTCCACTGAAAGTAAACCCCTGTTACTTATTGATGGGCATTCTTCCTCGTCCTGAGGTGTGCTGGGATAGGGACAGGCCTGGAAATCACCACATGAGTGTGTGAGACAAATTTAAGGAAAACACTGCCATCACCTAAGGTTTAGATGAAATGGAATTACGATAAAAATTATAAACAAATTTACATCTTAGGTCAGTCATTAATGAACCTTTACATAATGTCTTGTCCAATAGCTATGTAATGTTTATTTATGTGGAGAGCATCTATCATTCTTTTCTATCACCCGATCATCTAATTCAGTGCTGTGTTCACACGGACAAACAAAAATGCTCAGCTTGTAATTTGAGTCAAAATTTTTCAAGTCTTCTTTTCTGATGGCGACTCTAAAGTTTTATTGCAAAGTAACTTCTATCTATATGCATCAACACCAATGCCTTTACCAGCAACTGCTTCAACTCGTACTGGTAAATATCCAAGTAATGATCCCATTTTCTCATAGATTTAAATATCCAACTTTTTAACCACTAAGTATACTGTTATCTTCCCCAAAATTAAATCTACATTTTAAATGTTATGGATGAATATTACATTTACATACAATATAGAAATTCTTTTTACACAATAAAAGATTAAAACATACTGTATTCATGATTTCATTGCTTTAACCTATATATTTCTATGACTGACGGTAACATCTAAATGAAGTAACTGGTAACGTTTATACAACTACTACTAAATGCTGTATTTTAATTTGTTTCAGTAATCGTTCATACTTTTTAGGCATCTTCTGATGTTAGGTACAAGAAATAAAAATAATATTTAAAAAAAACTCAGTCTGACAGAGTGACAAACACAAATGACCTAACTGGATGTGATAAATGTTTTAAAGAGGTATGTATTTAAAGTACCCTGGGGCGCAGATGAAAGCTGATGTGGAGTGAGTCATTTTTATCTGAGCTTTGAAAAATAAAAAGGAAAGAAGTTGGGAGAGAGAACATTCTAGGGGGCATATTGAAACAGTGAGGTACAAAGAGAGGAAATAAGATGGGAATACAAGCTGGAATCAGGCTATAAGGGATCTGAATATTACATAAAGATTTTGGGCATGTAATTCTAAGGGAAGTTGGGACCTTAGGTTTTTAAACAAAAGAACATAATAATTAAATCTACACTGGAGAACAAGTAGAGGCAGACGGCAGTTCCAATGAAAAATGTCAGTGGCTAAGTTATAAAATAAGCCTCTTTTTAAATTTGAATACAGCTCAGCATATGAGTAAAATTCAACATGCAGCAACCCAAAGGAAGGTCTATACTTCATAAAGCCACTACAAGAGGCAGTAGAGCGTAATGGTTAGGCTTTGAAGGCTAGGGCCTAAACACCAGCTTCTCCGCTTAAGAGCCTAGTGACCTTGGGCAAGCTACTTAGGCATTTTAAGCTTCTCTTTCCTCATTTGTAAAATGAGAATAACAATCATATTGACATACTTAATAAAGTTAGCTGTTATTATTAAAGCTTTATCCTATTTTTAAAATCACCATAGCATATTGTATGAAGCAAAAAGAAACCAAGCTAAAATTTGTATTGTCAATCTAAAGAGCTGTCCAGAATATCACAAATCAGGCTTTCTACTGTTCCTTCATTATTCTGTATAAAGTGAATGAACACCCAGAATACTGGATATATTCATTCATTCACAGCATTTTAGAATGACCAAAACTCACCCCAAAGCCAAATATAAAATACAGGATTTTTTTTGTATTATAATTATTATTATTTGGTGGTGTTTCCCTTTGAGCAAATAGCCACGTTACATCTGCATTGAAATTTTGTCCCTTTAAAAATTGTAAGTTTTTATAATGGGTAAGTGAAAAGAAATGTCCTAAGACTGCTTTTCTTAGCTGTTTATCAGCTGGGGGAAGTGGGGCAGGGAGTCATGAGAAACTGGTCCTTTACCAAGACAAATGACCCTTCTGCAAGAAACGATATAATTTCTTATCAGTGTCACCAAAAACCTCCTGGCAACAGTTTAAGATACGCTAGAATTACATTTCATTTTATAAGTCATTTTTATAGCATATATATCAAAAAGAGATTTAGTACCTAAAGTTTCAAATACGTCTAAGAATGATTACATTGCTACTCCAATCTCTTCATTAGCCTTATTACATGTTTACACCTCCCCTTTACGACAAATATTCCAGCTGTCATAACAAAAAACTATGAAAAAATTACAACTCCACAAAAGCGAGCGTCTACCTAATCAAGTCAACTGGAAAGCATTCTCCCTCCAGTCATATCACAGATTTGGGGTTTCACACTGTAGAGGTACGTCTTTTAGATATGACAGATAAGCAAGCGAGGGCTGGGAGGAGTTCTGGCACGCCGCCTCCCAGACTGCTGAGGTTCCCCGTTTCCAAGCTGCCCAACTCTCCTAGCTTCGCTGCTGTGTCATTTGCTGTTGCTGCTCTGAAGAAGGAGAAGCCAAACTCTTGATGCTTCCCCATGGCCAGACTCAGGCTGTCTTCACTTCAGGTGGACAGCCCGGAACCAAGGCAAGCACACTACAAGGACAACGAAAAAGCTGTTTCTGTCAGCTTTAAATGCTACCTATGCAGGCCGGGTGCGGTGGCTCAAGCCTGTAATCCCAGCACTTTGGGAGGCTGAGGCGGGTGGATCACGAGGTCAAGAGATCGAGACCATCGTGGTCAACATGGTGAAACCCCGTCTCTACTAAAAATACAAAAAATTAGCTGGGCATGGTGGCGCGTGCCTGTAATCCCAGCTACTCAGGAGGCTGAGGCAGGAGAATTGCCTGAACCCGGGAGGCGGAGGTTGCGGTGAGCCGAGATCGCACCATTGCACTCCAGCCTGGGTAACAAGAGCGAAACTCCGTCTCATAAATACATACATACATACATAAATGCTACCTATGCATTACAAACACCCATACGTCATCCAACCATTACGTCAAGACCAGGTGAGTGGGCTATACTTCCTTTCACTGGTTGAGATGCCAATTTGGGGTAACATATCTTCAGGTGTGTTTGATACACAGATGTCTAGATATAATAGAACTATTACATAAAAGTCAGTAAAACTGCTTATAATGCCAAAAAAGTTTTACAGAATAACCTCTGTAATTTTATCTGAATAACCTCCATTTTTTAACATAATTTTTCCAAAACACTGAATCCTGATTTTTTAAAATGAGGATGTCACTATGTTGCTCAGGGTGGAGTGTAGCGGCTGCTCACAGGTGCAATCACAGTACACACCACAGCTTCACACTCCCAGCCTTGAGTGATCCTCCAGCCTCAGTCTCCTAAATAGCTGGGACTACAGACATGCCCCACTGCATCCGCCTTCTCTCTTTTCACTGGTAGGAAATTTTATGTCAGACATTCTCCAAATACAGGCCAACGGTGGTGGTATATTACTCCTCCATTTAAGGCTGTCTGGCGGCTTTCTGCTGAAATTGGAATAAAATCTGACCCCCACCTACCTCATTTTCTACCACTCTGATCCTCATCCACTATGTCCAGCCACACTGGCCTGCCCCACTCAGCACCTTAGCATTTGGTGTCCTTCAGCCCAAAATGCCCTTCTCATGGTCAGGTCCTCATCACCATTCAGGGTCATTTCCCCAACGTGGTGCCAACCAATGTCCCAACCTGCCCAGTCACTCACTAAGCCATTTTACTCTATTTTAATTTCTTGGTACCGTTTTCTGAAATTACTTTGTACATTTGTTTCTATATGAATAAAACCTCACTGAGTGCAGAGACAGGGCCTTTTTTACTGCTTTATCTTCAGTACCTGGCACAACAGTAAATGCTTGATAAATATTAGAATGAATGACTGAATACAGTGAGGAGCCACTGGTTCTAACTGCATCTTAAATCAAAGGGCCACAAAATGGAATCAGCCAGGGCAGGCGCAGATCAAAAAAAGCACTGTCAGTGTTGTCAATGATATTTGTATTGCTCAGCCTAGGTCACAGGGAAACAGGCAGCGAAACACAGGTGGGGCAGGCAGGAGACTGCCCTGCCCACCCCAGCTGAGTCACTGCCAACCATGCCAGGCCTGAATACACTTGCAAAACCAGGAGTAAGATTTAACTGGAACGAACAGAAATCTCTTATTAGTATGGGCAATCCTCATAATGCAAATAATGTGTATGTAGTATGTGACCTTTTTTCAAAGTAATTCAAGAAATAGGATTAAAATCTGACAAGGTTTGGTAAATACTTGCAGGGGAATTAATCATACTTTCAAAGTTTAGCCCCGTAATAATTGATATATACAGTCTGGGTACACAAAACCTTATCTCCTCCTTGAAAAGTCAAGTGTCACAAACTGTTTTCTTGCTTAAGTTAGCACTGTCCACAAAAAATTTCTGAGAAAACTTCACCGAACTGGCTAACCATTTTTTTTTTTTTTCTTAAGGGAGCAGGAAGGGGAAGAAGCAACCAGAATGGGAGAAAGCCAGAAATGCAGGAGGACACTAACAAGATTTCATGCAGAAAGGAAACTGCAAATGCAGCCTGCAGGACTGTTATTAGTATACTGAGATCCAACATAGCATTTCTTTCTATGCACCTTCAGGTCCAATGACAACGAGCAAATGTTATCATCCTCAAACCTAGTGCTCCTTGAAGGGTCTGAAAGATATCAGAGGAGCTTCAGAACTGAAAGATGACTGCTTTTAGACGGGGGCTGACATTCAGATTCAAAGTTCAAATCTTAGAAAGCAATGAAAATTGGACTATAATGAACCATTAACTGCAGAAAGATTTTACGAGTGGCTCTGGAGAAATGAAAAGAGCAGAAAGCAAAACACAGTACCAGTCACCTGGAGACACATGGATAAAATTACTATCACTTTTTTCTCTGCTAAGTCATTAAAGAATGCCTTTCTTCACAAATGCATTATCAATATACACCTCACAATAAACAGAACACAGAGACAGAGAAGGGAGCATCCCATCCTTCCTAGCTCCAAATTTCCACAACAAATAAATGTGGGCTCCAAGATCTTAACAGTTTTTACTTTTTTGCCAAAATCATGTGTTTTAACTTGCTACAATATAGAATTTCCTCTCAACACAGGTAAATGTAAATCATTACAGTAAAATGTAGAAGCAGAAATCCCCCTATCTGCATAGAATCCAGTAGTGTGGATGCAAAGAATGACAACAACTTCAAATTTCAGTTTGAACAAGAATTGTGCACTTAATATATCATTTACTTTAGGACTGGTCCGTATCACTTAACAATGTTTACTTTGGATGTGAGAACATCTCAGAATACTAAGCTAAAAAGATACACGTCTTTTCGGGGGCTAAGAATCTCCCTGACGAAGTTACGCATTTCAAGGACTTCCAGAGAGAGGGTTACTCAGAAAAAGGCCAAAGCAGTGTGGCATACTAGCAAGTCGTATATGAGGCTGCTAACTGTACTGCCAGTCTCTGCACACGCATTACTATAATCACTTAACGTACATTTGTCCTGAAATATTTACTTAGGTTAGAGGAAAGTTATCGTTCATGTTTATAAAAAATCCTCCTGGGTGCTTGTAATAAAACAAATGTTTTCTTTTAGGGTCTTTTTCTCTGCTAAGTCAACTATCTCCTTTTATTTAGGATAAATGTGTTCTAGCAAAGTCTGCTAAGAAATAAATTTTTATAATAGCAATTCTAATAAATTACCTTAAAAACTGAGATGTACTCCCATTGAGGGGGGAAAGCTGTTAAGTGGTGGTGGTGGAGCAAAATTCCTATGTAGACAAAACATTTGTGGTTCCACATGTTATTTTTTGCTTTCCTCTAGCAGTACAGTACCTCATGCTTTTGTGATTTCAACTAATTACTCTCTGATTTAGGAGGATGACTCCTAATCCTGAAACTTTTTAAATTCTACCCTGAATTATCAAGTTAAGCAAGACCAAGAGTATTTGGCATAATCTGAAACCAATTATTAAGACATGATCAGTAGACGATTAGAAAGATAGTGCTTATATGGTACTTGAAGAGTTCTAAGTATATCCAATGTAAAGCATAAACGTAACAGTCAATATTAAAAGGATGAAAAACAGGCCAGGCACCGAGGCTCACACCTGTAATCCTGCACTTTGGAAGGCTGAGACAGGCAGATCACAAGGTCAGGAGTTCGAGACCAGCCTGGCCCACGTGGTGAAACCTCATCTCTACTAAAAATACAAAAATGAGCCGGCCGTGGTGGCATGCACCTGTAACCCCAGCTACTCAAGGGGCTGTGACAGGAGAATCAGTTGAACCCTGCAGGCTGAGGCTGCAGTGAGTAGAGATCCCACCACTGCACTCCAGCCTGGGCAACAGAGCAAGGCTCTTTTGGGGGAGGGGGAATGAAAAGCATTAAATATGATAACTTACGCTGTGTTAAAAGTAAATACATATACCCAACTCATTCGGGTGCATTCTCCAGCTTGAACAGACTATAAAAGGTCGATGCAAATCAAAGCATGAAAAACATTTTTCAGGATGGCAGCAGCAATTTACTGACTTTCCAATTTATCCAGTAGTTTCAAATCAAGTCTTGTAAAAGAGATTCATCAAGATGTAATACATGAACTGACACTATTTACTTGTAACATCCAGGGAACAATGTTAACCTAAAGATCACAAAGGATTTGAATCTCATAAAGTAGAAGTTAACTTGTTTTGGTGAGGAAAAAGAGGAGGAGATCAGAAAAAAAAAAAAAATCTTTTGAGAATCCACGAATAGTAGGCCCTTTCCCCATCCTCCCCCCAAAATTATATATGCCGTTAAGAAATTCTGCCCTAAAATGTAGAAATTAGATAATACCAGATTACTTTTCTAGACAAATACAATGAAATATTCTAACCAGGAAGATTACTACAAACACATTTTCCTTCTTGAAAATCATTCCTCCTTTTCCATCGTCTCTCCTCTAATTCAGCTTAGACATGTAAAGGTCACCAACAAACCTGAGCTAAAATCTAGTGGTTACTTGCTGGCCTTCATCTCCTTCCAGCTCACAGCATCACTCAGACTTCGTCACCTCAAACCTTCCGCTCACTACTTTCTCATACCACACTCTCTGGATTTTCCTTCTGCCTCCTTTGCTGGCTTTTCCTAGTGTACGCTTCTAAATGCTAGATGCCTGGGTCTCCATCCTGGCCACTCTTCTCACGACGCCTTTCCTTTCCAGGAGATAAGGGCATTCCCAAGACACTCAAGAGCCTCTATTTGGTAAGGTCTCCCAAATGTGCGTGTATCTCAAGCTCACAATATTCCTCAGAGCTCCAACTACCTATGTCTAACTTATTTTTGACACCTTCATTTGGATGCCTCATGAGAATAGATTTCAAATCTAACAAGTCCAAAAAAGGAGTCATTTCCTTCATCTCTCCCTATCCACCACACATGTACCCTACGGCCCTATTCCAGGCCTAGGAGTCTACCTATCAGGAAAACATCACCACCATCTAGCCAACTGCAAAAAAATAATGCAGAAACCTGGAGTCATTCTTGCTCCTGTCCCTTATCTCTCACATGCAATCCATCAACAGGTCCCTGTGTTCTACTGTATCTCCACCACCACCACCTTAATCCTAGCCAACTGCACCAGGTAGCTTGACACACAGCAAGCAATACCCTCCTTCCTGGTCTCCCTTCCACTACTGACTTCCTCCTAGCTATTTTCCATGCAGCGGGGAGGGTGGGAAAGGCCTTCTGAAGCATTACTGAGAAAAATCCACACTCTCCGCTTACCGTGGTTTACATAATCAACATCACCTGACTCCTCCCCCATCAGGGCCTGTTTTTTGTTTTTACCTTCCCTCTATCCCACATGTCTTCTGGTACTTTTCACAAGGCCATTTCATTTCCTATCTTTTAGGTCTTTGACTACATGTCTTTGTAAGCCTTCTCTGGGTCACCCTCATACCCCTCCCCCAATTATTCTCCTTCGCTGCACTCTGTCAATTTCTTTCCTACTAGTCATTACCACTTGTACTAATCCTTTTGCTTAGTTGCTGTTTGTACTGTCTACTAAAATTCAGGTTTCACAAGCCAAAGGCCCGGTCTGCTTTAGTCACCTACAGAACAATACCTAGCACACAGCAGACACTCTGATTATGATCTGATTTACGCATGTCACTATCACATGTACAACACTGCTTCATGATAATAATGCTGACTTATGAGCTGCACCACTTTTAAAATTTTTCTCCAAGTAAGATCATCCCAAGCTGCTCTATTTACTCTCATCTGTTTGAAAATGTGCCTCAATGCCTTTTTCTGTAGAATTTACTAGAGGTCTATCCACATCAATTTTCCATCGATCAATTTAAATAAACACAAATGCCCAATGTCCTGGCAGTACGTATGATCATCATTTCAATGCTAGTAGATCCCATTAAGACTTCTCCATTGAGTATTACTATTTAAAATTTAGTAATGACTCAGGTCACTACACACAAGTCAGACTGACATCTGCTGCAAATCTGCTTTAGAATGCTATGTAAAGCTAGATAACAGTTTCTTTACTTGGGGTTTGCATTTACTTTGTCATATTTGGGTCAGCATGTACTTTGGAAAGCAGAAATAATTCCATTTTCAACTACTCTGTTAAAGTATTAGTGAACAATACACTGCCCCAATGGTTTGCTGTCACTATAGCAAAACCCAGTGACAACTTGCATATGTTGTATGCATGAAAACCTTTGGCTTTGTCAGATTTCCTGAGTGGGGTGGGACATCAACTTGGCCTTCCAAAGGTTGATCGTCTATGTAACGTGCCACGGACTCCACAAAGCAATCCATAATCACTGGGTATATGTTTCAAGAAAAGAGCCATTAGCATACAGCAGAGTTCCTGGATTACAGTTCTCAAGCAGGGGCTTTGATGAGCTTTTAGCCTATAAAGGAGTAGGTTTCCCAGAGGATTAGATGCATATTCTGACACCAGTTACCAGGTCTTTTGTTTTACTTTACAGCATGGCGGCATAAAAGAGGCTGAATAAGAATGGGCTTATTATGAAACCCAGTTTCACTTCACTGGTGACAGGGAATGTGTCAGATGTCTCAGGCGGGTGCCAGCAACTCTAACATAACCAACTATCTGGAATAGCTTTGGGATTTGGGGGACCATCTCTAGGAACCCAGTTTATTTAGCACCCCTAGACCCTTGCTCACTTGACAAATGGTAACTCTATAGTAAGGTTACCATTTGTACCTCTGTAGACTGAGTCCACGCCACATTACAGGGACTTTGAGAAACCTTACATAAAATCAAAACAAGCAATTCAAAGGTGTTATATTTTCTCTAATACACCTTTTCTCAATTGAGCCTGCAGCAGAGATCACATCTTTTTTATCACACTGACATCCAGAGCTTCTCTGTGATTGCAGGAAGGTCAAAATTGCCAAAACTGCTTGGGTGCCAACTCAGAAAGATTGCCAGCAATGGACAGCTGTAAAATGTGACAGCAATTTCCCCAGCAATTTCCATTATTTTCTGAAGAGGATAATGAAGATGTCCCATTAAACCATCAGACCAAATTAGGTTTTTGTGTTTTAACAAATATGCATTGTTTACCTACCCTTTCTTGGACACTGTAGGGATACAAAAACATAATAATCCCTGCTCTCAAGGAACTTAAAGTCTACTGGGAAAGCATAGAAACCAAGTAACAACAGAGAGACGCTGCTGCTTTTCCGGTCTATCTAAGTACCTAGAGTGCTACCCAAGCACCAAAAGGGCTTCTAATCCTCTAGAAAATTGTGTAAAAGTTCCAGGCTACCAGCCTTTCTAAACATATACTCTCCCACTTACGGCCTAGTTCTATAGGGCCAACACTTTCTCTCTGACTATGTCATAAAACGTGACATCTGCCTCTCCAGCATTTTACTCTTTTCCTCTCTACACCTGCTTCTTCCTCTCAGCCTACAAAACACACATCTACGTTCTTACACTTTAGTGCTCCAAGAGAAGATGTCCTTGATGTCCCTCTAGGAACTTTTACAACCTTATGGATTTCCTTCTACTTCTTTCTCCAAAGCCTCTTCATTTCCCATCCTCTATCTGTAGATATCCATCAAAGCACAATTCTTTCCTCTTCCAATCTTGGCAATCTTGTGCACTGCACTCTACGTCACCCACACTTTTAATCTAATGTGGACTACCAAAACCAGTCCCAGCCTCAGCTCCACTGCCAGGCAGCCTCAGATCCAATTCCGTGTGTTTAGTGCAAAGCTAAACACACGGAAGCATCGTCATGCCTACAGCTCACTTGCAAATGGTTCCACAAAATTAACGTACAGAGATAAGAGAGAGACAAAGCAAACACGTGAAATTTTGCTGAAGGGTGGGCGCTTGCTGTATCATTCTTTTAACAGCTGATGTAGCTGTGAAAATCTTCAAACTAAAGCAGCTGGGAAAAACATGTAGGGTCAGAATCAAAGACAGAAATCACTGCCCTTGCCTTTTAGGAAGCTGGCGATCTATTTAATTTCTCTAATCTAATCTAAAAGTAGGCCATGTAGATCTGGGAGCTCGACTGATTTAATCATAAACTCAAATATATAATCAAACTGCAAATATTTACTGAGGACCTACTAAGTGGCAGCAACATGCTAAGCATTGTATGTGATCAACAAAGCAAATAACAAAACCTTTTTTTAGCCCTGGGGACAGGATCTATCCATCTCTGCCTCCCTCAAGTCGGTTCATCTTCCTGCTTTATTTACTTCTGTTAATGCACCACCAACTTTCCCAACACCCTGAAGAACCTGACTCCTTATCAAGCCCTCCATAGTCCCATGGATTCCACTGTCCTCTCTTTCCTCTTCCCTTTGATGATCACTGCTTACACCCCAGCCCTCGTACCTTTCCACCTGGACTACTGCAGCAGTCTCCAAGGCTCCTGTTCCTACCAAGTTCTACTCAGTCCTTCCTGTCTCTATCTAGAGAGCCAGCTCTATTTGACTGCCAGTCCCTAATCAAAAGGGTTTCAATGATTCTCCAGCATATAGAAAATAAAATTTAAAGCCTTAGCCTGACACTGAAGAACACAAGCTTTATCTCTTACTATTTATTCTCCCACTAATGTTTCTCACTCTCCAGTCACGGCTTTTACTCACTTCTGCCCAATAGTGCC